CCTAAGAAGGACAAACCTGAGAACTCCAAGCGTCGGCACAAGAAGCGCAACAAAGTGCCCCTCTCTGAACCGAGTGCCGTGCCTGTCTCGGTATTAACTGAACCACCAAGCCACCAGTCAGTTATGCAGGTGACACCTCCAATGTCATGCCAATGGATTACCATCTCCGCACACTCCAGTCCCGACTGCTCTGATCCCTTGGCTTGAGCTTCGATTTCCGACGGAGAGATCCATGAATCTCCTTCCCATTCAGGACCAGATCGTCCACCTGCGAGATCACCAACTCCTACCCCTGCTGAGCTATTATCTCTGGAGGGCTCTCTGAGGGCACCTCAACACCTGTTGTCCCTCTTACCACCCCAGCCTTCCACACCACAACCATCACAGTATTCTGTACCTTTACCCTACAGAGAATTTGACCCCAAGTGTATGGAGTGACCTTATCTGTGGGATTGCTACCCCCCATGCCGATATTACCCACCAGCACCAATGCATCCACTTCATTCCACCCCTCACTCGGTGTCAAGGGATGCCCCATCAACATCTGCTGCAACGCTCACCCATCCACCAATGTCTCCCAAAGGGTCCTCATCCAGTCCACCATATGAATCTGACTCGAATTCAGAGGACTCCCAACAAATCTCTACCTCTCCCAATGCTGTTATCTTTACTCAAGGTCCTGGGTCTCCAGATGACTCTCAAGATGATTTCTCCAAGCTACTTGCACAGGTGACTAAATCCCTGGAGATTGGTATCCAACAGTGCATTGATGCTGTTCGTAAGGAAGACTGTTCACCCATCGCCTTAACATTTATCACCACCCTTTGGCAGGTACCCTTCGACACATGGCAGCTTCTGAACCACCCACATCTCATCTCCAGATGTCTAGAGGTGATGTACAAGGTTCGAGAACATGACATCCCGTTCCTGCTGAAACATTCTCAGCCGAACTGATCGTCATCAAGTCCTCACTGGGCAGACAAACTGAAGAACATTCTACTCTGGCTGATAAGGAGGGTTTCAAGACTGACAATGATGTCTCACCGGATCTACACCGCAATGAGACTCGGTCTTCGCATCTCCAACTACGAGGCCATGATGGCCTATTATCAATAATTTTTATGGCCTAAGATCAGGTCCCTTGCTGCATTCCTCCTGGACCATCAAAGGGAACTGGCCCACTCATTCATCGGGGAGGCAATGCAGCTTTCGAAACAACTGAACACAGTGAGACATCAGGTCAATTGCAACTCCAGGGCTCTCATCGGTGCCATGGCCCTTTGTCGTCATGCCTGGCTGAGAGTGGGTAACTTGCCGCAAGAGACCAAACAAAGAGTTGAGAACATGCCATTTGACGGCTCCAGCTTGTTCAAAGCCAAAACAGACGACAAGCTAGAACACATTCAAAAAGCTCAATTGACTGTGCGTCAAATGGAATATCCAACCAAGATGTAAGTGGCCATGGAGTAGGTCCCAGTATCGGTACCAACCCTATCACCAGCCATCCCCCACAGGACGTCAGCAGTTCGGCCAAAGACAACCCCGAAGCTGAAGACAACATGCCACATTACCAGCAACTTTGGCGCTGACTGCATGCCAATAAGTGTCACTGATGATGGGACGCGTGACCCACATCTGATAGGTGGGTTCTTACCATCGTAGAGCACAGATATAAAATCGAGTTTGAAACCTCCTTCAGGTCTGATTCGATATACAGCAGCCTCTCCAGCCCTCCTGGAAGAAGTCACCAAGCTGCTTCATAACGGAGCGATCCATAAACTAATCGCTCTGAAGGGCTGCATGTTTTCTACTCCAGGTACTTTATGGTACTAAAGAGAGACAGGGGCCTACGCCCCATCTTGGACTTACACGTGGGATCAATAAATATATTAAAACAAAACAAAAAATTCAGAATGACCGCACTCCAGAATATACTTCTTTTGCTCAGAAAAGAGGATTGGTTTGCATCACTGGACTTGAAAGATGCTTACATTCACATCAGCATCCATTCTACTGACAGGTGCCTCCTTTGGTTCATTGTTGGTACCGACACCTATGAATATAACGTGCTTCCCTTCAGGTTTGCTACCGCTCCAAGAGTCTTAACCAAGTGCATGGCTCCGGTTTGTGCCCATCTCAGGGTGCAGGGTATGCACGTCTACCTGTACCTGGGTGATTGGCTTATTGTTTCCTCATCCAGAGATGACCTTTTGGCTTTGATCAACATCACCTGTTCCCTGCTTGGTCAATTAGGACTTTGCATTAATACTGAAAAATCATGCCTCGTCCCCTCTCAGGTCATCAATTTCATTGGAGCATGCCTGGACTCTACTCACACGAGCCTTCCTTCCTTGGGACCGACAAGAAAGACTGATGACTTCTATCTGACGGATCACTGCCCAATGGACTGTCTCTGCACACTCCATCCAACAGGTACTCAGTCATATGGTATCCACGGTATCAGTGGTGCCGAATGTGAGACTGCAGATGAGACCTTTGCAGCTCTGGTTCAATCACAGTTTTCATCCAGACTGCGATTGACCAAACCAGCTATTACAACCACCACACTCAGAACTCAGAACTCTGTCCTGGTGGACTATCAATACCAATCTCTCCTGCGGACTACCATTCCGTGCGCCAGAATGACCGTGACACTGTATACCGATGCTTCCCTGATTGGATGGGGTGCCCACTGTGCATCTGTTCAGACTCAAGGCACCTGGCATGGACATGAGACCACCAGGCATATCAACTACCTGGAATTGCTGGCGGTCTTCAAAGCACTGTGTTCCTTTCAAACCATCCTACAAGACCACACAGTCCAGGTCGGATTAGACAATGTTGTGACCGTGTTCTATATAAACAATCAGTGTGGAACGAAGTCAGTACCATTAGCACACCTTGCCCTTCACATGTGGAACTGGTGCATTGGCCACAGGATCACTCCTCGAGCTGTCCATCTCCCAGGCACTGACAACGAGAAAGCCAACTCCCTCAGCAGACACATGTCCACGACGCACGAGTGGGAGCTAGATTGACAAGTTTGTCACCATCTGTTTCAGCTCTGGGGAACACCAACTATAGACTTGTTTATGACTCAAGACAACTTCGTCTGCAGGACATACTGCTCCTGAGCGGGCATCAGTCTGGATTCGACTGGGGATGCGCTCGTGGTTTCATGGGAGAACAAATTCTTCTATGCGTTCCCAACGATACCACTAATAACTAGAACTATAGCCAAAATCTGACAAAATGACGCTCATGGAATTCTCATCACCCCCTGCTGGCCCCATCAGTTGTGATTTCCCACACTTCTTCAGCTATCATGCAATGACTTTCTTCATCTACCTCAAGTTCCCCACCTTCTCACTCAGGAACAAAGTGCTACACAACAGCCAATCTCTAAATCTCACTGCCTGGCTCATACATTGACTGTTTCTCTATTTTTATCCTCGAAATCGTCTGTTTCTCCTGTTTCGATATCAGCAATCTCTTCAGATTCGACATATACACTTTCTTCGGGATCGACGCCTGCATCTTCTACATTTGCTTCTACGACATCAGTGATTTCTAAACCACCATTGCCCTCGGCCCTGCATCTGCCTTGGACCTGACGAATTTTCATCTGGACATCAGGAAGACTGGGGGGAGGGCAGGCACTCCATCTATTGATACTACAGCTGGGGGAGGTGAGGGCACAGAGTTCCTGCCAAAAACTGTTAAAGCTCTTAAATCTTCCCAGGGACAGGCACTGCGCAGGCGCAGCACCCATCATGTGTGAATGCACAGATGACCACTCAAAGAACAACAGTTACAGGTAAGTAACCTGCCTTTCTGTAGTCAAGAAATATAATTTTTCACACTCGTGGCTGGGCCTTTGCCTTTTCACATGCCATTTCCTGCATGCTCTGTGAGTTTCAGCACTCTCTACTTAATAATATGCAAATTGGAGCATTTAGCTGGATGCATGCCATCCCTCTGAAAACTTAGTCAGGAAATCACTGAGAATTGGGCAGTTTCAGATTCTGAGGAAACGCTTAGTGAGCAAGTTGATACGGAACAAGGATGGACCTGACCTCCTTTACCCAAGGATACAGCTTTAGGCTAAGAGGGTGGAACAGCCAAGAAGCACAGACATGCAAAGTGATTGACTCTGAAACAGGAGGACCCACCCCAAAGGTGTGGTTTGTCCTTTTCCATTCAGCAGGATATTCAATCAACTCCATATCATTAAGCTCTATTTCCTTTAGGGCTGATATTCTAACTTTGCTTAATTGACTTCCACTTTTGTACAATACAGCCTGCCTAGCCACTCAGCTTTAACATAGTAAAGCCTTTTAGCTAGAAAGCCCTTGTCTGGTTTGCTTCAGAGGAGCAGGAAGAAGAATGGCTAGGATATGTGTGGAGCTTCAGGATGCGTATTGGAACTCTTCCCATTGGAGCTTCTTGCACAGCATTACATGCCATGTCCAAAATTCAGATGCTGGGCACTGCAAGGGATATTTTTCAGAATGTGCTCTGAGGGCTCAGAATTATGTGCTCAGAACCCATCACAGAGCCCTCCTGAGGTTTACTGTGGCCTATTGCCATGCATTAGTTGAAGCACACTCAGTGCCCATTGCAAAGGTCAGATTTTGGAATATAGTTATTATTATAACAAAAGTAGTCATTGAAAAACTGCTTCTAGCAGTTTGTTTCTGGAAATATTTGTCCTCACAGTTTGAGGCAGTCAGCAATCAAGATGAACTTTGTTTGCTCAAGTACTTCATAATGTCATATTCATCAAACACTTTTCAGGTTAATAAGTTAATAATAATAGTTATTAGGATTATATTAGTTAATAATAATGGTGATTTTAAAAAGATGTTTGTTAATTTCTGCTTCGTAACTTCACAGGTTACATGGGAAAGTTTACTAGTCTGCTATAATTTTATTTCAAAAATGCATTCCATTTTGTGTTCTCTAATATTTATGAGTTCAAATATGCTTTTCTTTTGTAGGATGGACGGCTACGAATAAATGACCAGCTAATTGCTGTGAATGGGGAATCTTTGCTTGGAAAATCAAACCATGAAGCCATGGAGACTTTGAGACGTTCCATGTCTATGGAAGGAAATATTCGTGGAATGATCCAGCTCGTTATTCTCAGAAGGCTGGATAAGCAAACTGAAGTGGTATGAGAAATCTTTATTTCTTATTTATTTCTGAAGGTTGTATGCATCATTACATAAAAATACTGCAGGGAGAGGAACTTCCACTGAAGTTGATATAGGTGGTACTTTTATTTTTACTGTTGTTATTACTGTGTAATGTTGTACCCTCTTCTTACAAGAACTAGTTCTTGGCAATCTGGGTATTTGGTGGTCCTAGCAGTAGTGGTTCCAGGTACTTTGTTTTGAAAAAACAAATCCAACCCTTTTTGGGAGAAACAGTGCTAATTAAGTTGAGTAAATATTGGTTTACACTAGAGCGGTATCATTAGCACTGGCGTTGGAAAACAGTTGGCTAGTTGCATTTATATGAGTCTAAATCATTGTTTTAACCATTGTTTATTAAGTAAGCCAGGAGCTGACTCTCAGATGAGCAAAAGCTGACCTATCCTATCCTATCTTATTCTGTGTTGCTGCATTGTCCCCCAGCATGCTCTGCAGTTACCTGTCTGTTATTCCATGTGTCTTTCTCAGTACTCAGTGTTTCACTAGCCATCAGCTGCAAAAAGCCATCAGAGCAGGGGCATAAATACTCTCTTCCTTGAAGAACTTCAGCCTCACTTGGAGTGCCCCAAGTCAAATCCATTTCTAAAAGTTCCCTTTCTCTCCCCATTACTAACATACCCTACAGAGGTATGCCATCATTATCTCTTAACCCTTTCATCCCAGGCTTCCTGAACAAAGGAAACTCTTTCCACAAATTTCTGCCTGCAATCTCATGAGCTTTTAATAAAATATTCTTGCAAGCCAGATCATCCATCCATGAGAACTTCAAGATCTGTATGCCCTTTGCCTTTCAGGAGAAATGGGACAAAACTGTGCATCCAGTTGCTGTAATGCAGCTGCACAGGGCAACAGATTATTCATGTGGAAACATGTGCACATGTGTTGCTATATCCACCTGAGAACTACACTTGTGCTTGGTGAAAAGCTGCCTGCAATTGTTAAACTCAAAATTGAAATCCCATTCACCTGCTGAATCAGAGACTTGGGCTTCTGACTTGAGTTTTTTTAAAGAGCTTCTTCCACTTACCCACTGTTTATTGAATATCTTATACCAAAAAACTGGACCCACCCACTGCAATATAACTTCGGACATCCCTCAGATGTATGAAATGTGTGCACATTTCTAGCACATACACTGTGAAGAATACACAATTAGCTCTTGATTTAATCAAACTTATTTTAAACAGAAATTATTTTTTTACTATGTGCTTGCAGTTCAATTGTAATTCCATTTGAGGCTGAAGACTGCAGCATAAAAGGCCATGACCCATTCTTTCCCTTACCTGAACTACTTCAGCTCCCTGCAGTATCCCAGCTTGGTTGAGCAGGATATGTTTAAAAATCCATTATTATTTTATTGGCTGGAACACTAATGGAACCTTTTCATGACAGCTCTGTTTCTCTAACTGAATACTCTAATTAGGCAGCATACTGATCAGTTGTTGAGCTATTGATTCTGTTGTTTATCAGAGAGCTAGATAGCAGATTGTCCCCCTATTGCTCTTAATTTAATGCTGCTTCTCCCACTAGGTATCTGTGTTTTGTAATAGCTTGCCCCTTCGATTTATGCAGAACCATATAAGAGAACTGCAAGTTGTAGCATGAAAGATAGAGTAATCTGCAGCAGAATGGCACCTCTGTTGGAGGGTGGTGCTGCTCTGGTAAAAAATGTGCTGTTCCGTATTCATGAAAAGAACATTGGAACAGCAGTGATCTAGCTGTTGTAAATGCTGCAGTATATCCTGAATCTCTGTCATTAAAAGGGATCCCCTGGCACAAAAACTTTGTAACTTCATTTTAGCTTCTCAGGTGGTGAAGGAATAGAAAAAAGAAAAAGGATATTCCCCCGTCAAGGTCTTTTGCTGTATGACTCTAGGAGCTGGGCTTCCATTCCTGACCCTTGACCATTCAGGTAGTGACATCTGTAGAACAGGAAACAGAAGAGATGTAATTTTCTGCTACTTCTTCATGAAGTGGGGGGTTTTAACCACTTGATACAGACTCTCATCTCTCCTTCACCATACCACCTCCAGAGTGGTTACAGACATGATTGTCTCCTTTCCCTGCCTTTCATTGTCCTTTCCCCCATCAATTGACACCCTCAAATTATTTCGAGTCTTTCTCTCCTTCATATCCCAGAAGGACACCCTAATATGCCATGTCTTAAGTGTAGGCTAAATTGATAGACATAACAATTCCCTAACCTCTGAATTCTGCAACCCCCACCCCTGGAAAAAGTGTAAAAAGGTCCACAGAAAAGTGTAGCAGTTTTTCTGCAAAAGTGTATTTCCAAATGAAGAGCAGTAGCAGCAGTGGCAGGAATTCCTGACTTTGGTGTTCAGCATGAACACAGAAGTCCCCTTTCCATACAATGAGGTTAAAATTTTCTTATACCTATACATTCATCCTTGTACTCTTGCAGGTTTTTGCTGCATCAGTTTTGAAGCTCATAGTAATTTATCTGCCTTTTAATTTATAAATGAACCTAGAGAGACTCTGGATATGCATAATAAGATCCTTATTTTTGGGTGGTCCTATTTTGCTTCTGAATTGGTAGGCCTTGGACTACCTGAGTGTTTAAATGGCATGATAGTCTTACTTGACAGACATTCAGTCTGAGGGCAGATGGGCAGAGATTTGGCATCACAGGGAGAACACTTGAAGGGTTCCATTAACAATGGGTCAGGTTGAGCTAAGATAGTCTCTTGGGAGTCACCTGGCTCCCTGATCCAAGAGGATTCTAGATCGCTGTGCCAGTTTCCTTCTCTTCCCTATGGTTTAAACGGCTCTAGATTTGCTTCTTTCAATCTATAGATGTGTGTTGTGTTTGAATGTTGTTCCTGACTGTGGCCTGCATCCAACATCATGTAACTGGACTTCTGGTCATGAGCAAGGGCTCTCCCTTTGTCTCCTCCCTTCCTGCGTTCTTCCAGATTTGCTCTGGGTGTTCCTCCAACACTAGTGCCACAGGATTTGCCAGTGATGCCCATTTTCTAGAAAATTGTCACAATCAAATACTGTCCTTTGAGTCCTAACTTGTCTCTTCTTGCCCTATCCTGGTGCTTTTACTATTAATATTGGCTCACATTCCAAATCAGCATTTTCCATCTCTTCAGATTTTATCTCATGGCATGTTTCCATTCATTACGCTGGTAATAGTTTAAACCTGGTTATTTTCTCTAGTGCTTTGTCTTCAGTCCTGCTTCTGTTCCTTTTGCTGTGTCAGATCACTGTCTTGTTATAGTTAACCTCTTGCATCTTCTTCTGCTTGAGTTTCCAAGCCATTTCAAGGTCTCTATTCTTTAAATCTTGTTCAGTTCTCCGCTTCCCTTCTCACTAACCTTTTCAGTCTTCTGCACTCTCTGTAATATGTACTGCTCTTTTTGTTCTGCTTTCCCCTCATTTCATTTTGTTTCCTTTGTCTCTCTCCTGCTTTAGAACTGCTGAACATCTCTGGTGGAAATCGCACTCTGTTTGATTTTGTTCATTGTGAATTCATGGCTTCCACTTAGTCATCTATTCTGTAATCTTACCTTTCTCCTCTTATCGAATATTCTTCTTATCCTGTCATCTTTTGCCCATTCTATGCATTTCTTCTAATAGCTTCTCCAATATACTGTTGATTAAAATTTCTATTCTTTGTGTCCCCTTTTTCTTCTGAGGACAATATTACTACTATTTCCACTGTTCCATATCCTCGTGCTCTCTTTTTCCTTATGTTCTCTAGTTTCTGTCTTTATTGCTTCTATTTTCAATTACATCCATCATTTGCTTCCTGTTCCTTAATAACAATTGGATTTTTTGTTTTGTTCTTTCGTTTCTTACTCATCTTAAGCGTCTCTTTCTTTTGATGTTCTTTCTTTCATTTTTTTCCCTTGGATAATGTTTCTTCAGCCTTTTTTTACCAAGTAACTTCTCCGAATCATCTCCTCTTAGGCTACATCCTGTTCCTTTTAAAATTGCTTCAGAGGTTTGTCTGTCCTTGGTGCCTCATATTTTTAACCTAGCATTCAGTCTCTAATTCTACATATGCTAAATCACAAAGAACTCTTTTCTATTCTTCTTAACATTTCATCAACTTTTAATACTATTTATAATCTCTGTTTTTAGTTTGCTTCACTTTTGGGGATTTGTGGTATTGTATTCTTGGTTTCTTTCCAGTCTCACAAGTTTTTCTTCTAAAAATGTTTTCATGGCTCTTCTTTCTTCTGAGTTTCTTTTTGCAGGTGGAGTTTCTCAGGACTTCCTTCACCCTTTCCAATCTATATGCTACTTCTTGGCAATCTTAATTACACTTTTTGGTTTATGGTGTCACTGTTACATTGATGCTGTCCAGTTCTGTTTTTCTACTCATTTTTCCTGCCAGTATTTTCAGTTGTCTTGTGGCTATATCTGTGTGAATGACTATTCGTTTATTATATCAAACTGAGTGTAAATTTACTTTCACTTTTTGTTTCTTTTGACAACATCACTCTTCAGGTAGAAACTTTTTCAGGTTTCATTTTTTTAAAGTTTACCAAGAATACTGGAATTCTTACTCAGACTCTCATTCTGTATAATGTTGACTGTATACAAATTTGTTCACTGACATTCCTGCCTCTTAGTTTCCCCATGTCATTGATTGTTCTGCTCTTTATTTTTTCCTTTCCCTCTGGATGATTTTATCATGTCTTTCTTGTTTCCATTTTTCTTTACATATTTCTTCCCATGATCTTGCCCTTTCTTCATCTTCACCACTCTTTCTTTCTACATTCTGTTTCTTAGTCTCTCTGTTCACCTAACACCCATTTTAAAAAGTTAACCACAATTTGCTTGTTGCTGACTCTTTTAAAGATCCTTTTTGCATGGAAGTATTCTCCTGTACATATTCTGTGGTTGCCTCTTTCTCTCACTCTAAGAAATAATTTAAAACATCTCAGCACTTTTTGGAATGTCCCTCTTGGTTTGTTTCTTTCCTAATTCTAGAACATCCTTCATATACCAGGGTTGCATAACCTTGGGCTTGTTTTCCAAATCCAGTCCACCCTATCTGGCCACACATCTTTCCCTAGTCCCATCCCCTTCCCCCATCATCCAGTTGTTTGGTAATTTGTTAACTTCTGTTCAATTTTTCTTCCATTCTGAAAGGTTGAAATGCCTTTCTAATGCTTATTTACTGACAATAAAAACTGTATGCTAAAATATTTTGGAATTTTTTGCTCCACTTCTTTTGCCTTTGGCCCTCCCCCCACTGGAATTTGCAACAGAGTCCAGGGCTCAGGCTGAAAGAGGTTTCAAAATGTATTCTTTAGCATTCATTCTGTTTCCCTTTTTAGACTTTTCTGTCTCACATAAAATTCCTCCTAGCTCCCTTCTTTTGGTCAAATTTTCAGTTTGTGATCAGAAAGAAAAATCCATACAGCACCTGTCAGATATCAGGCACTTTATAAACAGTAGATGGTGACACTGATATTCTGAGTTTTATTTTAGTTGCCGATTGTTAAAAGTAAGATGCACTAAAATTTCTATTCCAAAAGCAAAATCAGATAAAATTGCTTGTGGCATTGCTTGAGGTTAAAATACATAGAAGCCAGACTAACTTAGTTGAGCTTTGTTTCCATTGAAATTAATGAGACTTGAATTAAACCATGACTAACTTATCCCATTGATGTCAGAGGGAGCCAATTGAACTAACTGTAGACTGGCTTCATTTCATTATGTAGCAGTAAATATTTTAAAATCATGATTCTCAAAATTCAGTGCAGCTAATTCTACCCTGAAAGCATTTCCCTGTGAATTTCCATTTGTAAAATAAAACTGAGTTTGGCATGATTTTGCAAATACTTTTGAATGTAGACAGCATGCTTTTAATACTTGTGGTGGGGTGGGGAGGAGGTTCTCAACTTTTTTTTTTTACAGTAGGAGAGTTAATTAGTTCTTTAAACCTAATTCTCTTTAGTTAATTGTTTATTTTTATAAAGCAAATGTCAGAAGAAATTTGGATGGGTTGTTGATGGGAGAGAAAGGAACCTTAGAAAGCCAACTATGTTGAAATATGGGTTAAGGGTTTGCCATTTACTTCCAAAGCCATTCTGGTATGCATTCATTACAGCACATATGTGGCAGACACTGAGCGAAGGGAACCAGCTGGATGTCAAAAAATTACCATTGGCACAGCTTTGCTTGTCTTGACAAGGCTACAAGCTGCCTTCACAGATGGAATAATAATAGGAAACCAGTTGTGGTCAGGAGAAGCTGCATTCTGTGTTCTGTCTTGATAGGTATAATCTGAGTCTCTGCCGAATACTCTCCAGTTCCTTTTTTCTGGCCCCAAATGCTAATTTTGTTGAGCTAGAAATATCTGACAAAGGCCATTTAGATAGTGTTAATGCTTTTTGTTGTATTTGGTGCCATAAATTGTGCTGGATGCAGTTGCTTTGGTCCTGTTTTTCCTCCCAATGCTTGTTCTTTCCTGGGTTAGTGATCCTGGCGATCCTAGCTAATCAGGAATCACTCAGGGACTGGGATAATACTGCAGTATTATGCAGCCATAAGATAACGTTACTTAAGGCAAAATAGTGGCAAGTGTGTATACACGCAATAGAGGGAAATCTAATTGATTAGATTAATGTTTTCATAAGGAATTCCAAAAATCATCAGAAAGTGTGGCAATGAAACATTTGTTTAAAAATCCCCTGCCTCTCTTTCAGGTGGATGCCATTTTTATCTCCCAGATTGCCTCTTCGAAGAATTCTAGAGACATGGTATCATTCTTAGGGGCATTCTGGGACATAAAAAGGTAGCTGCCATCACGTGGCTGATAGGAGGCATGTTGCTAGGAAACAAAAACAAGAAGCACAACCACACAGACAGAAAGAAAAGGATATAAGAGGCAGGCAAGTTTTCTATTTGTGTTGCTGTTCCCCAACCACTCCCATTTGTGCTGAGGACTTACAACTCAAATTTAACTGTACATTGTTTGGACTGTGTCCTGTTCAAATCCTGGAGCCGCTGCACAAGCCCCCAGTATGATATAGGAGCAGGGAGTGTCTCCTAGTGAGTCAAATCATGTTTCCTTGTCAATAAATACTGGTAACTATTGTAAAAGTCCTTTTACCATTTCAGATTTTAGAATATAAAATAATATTTTGCAAGTTTTAAAAGATAAGGTAATGTTTTATTCCATGATGCAATATATATTCAGCATCTTCTCTTGTGTCTCCTACAAATAATATACAAATGGTATATTAGGGAGGCTGATATTTTTAAGAAATAGTGTTCACCCTATTCACCTCCATATGTGTGATTCTTTTTCTCTCCCAGGAGTGCACAGAACCTGTTGCGTTTCATCCAAGACTGGATGCCGAAGGGAATGTCCGCTTTGCGAGCGTTCCTAGACACAGCGATGCTGCCGTGCAGTGCTTTGTTCCGTACAGCCCTCAGGAGAGGCTGAAAGGTGAGTGCTGTGCACCCTACTCTTTCTTTCAACTTTTAGATGCCTCATTGTTTTCAGAAACTCATTTCAACTCAGCAATCCATTAATTAGAGTAAGTGCAGACCTCGTAAGACGTGAAAATTTCAGGGAAGTTGGAATAGCTGATTCAGAACCTGTGAAATAGATTCCTGGCACAAATTCCGGTTTTAAGTGACAGTTTCTAGCTTGGTGCCGATACACATAAGGTTGGATATAAAACAAATTGCCGTTGCAATAGCTGTAACTTTTGTTTCTTACGAGACTGAATGAATTCTGGTGTTTTAAGCATAGGCATCTATTCCTGATCTGGTACCCATTGTTCTTATTGTTTTATTGGCATATATTTGCTTTTAATAGTATTTCCTATATATTTATTTTGATAGATATACAACACCTTGAGGCCTGTGTGAATTAGAAAGCAAGATTTAAATTCAGTTAATTACTTAAATTTTTGGATATTCTGTAAGCTACAATTGTTTGCAGAGTTTTTCAAGCAAAGTCTATTCACATGCAGGGGGATAGTATGTTTATTATTACAAATTACAAATTCACTATTGTATGAAAGCCAGAAAAAATAAACTACTGTGTTTTTTATTTGAACACACACTAGAAATAATATTATATATAAAAGTAGTGGTCAAGGTCAAAAGATAGATTTTTTTTCATAATCCTAAAATTGATTTGACCCATTCTTCTTCGTGGTCTCTGTACCTCACATACATGGGTGCTTCACCTGTGCAGTGCCTCATTTTGGGAAGATTCTCCTAGCTAAGCCTACAATTTTGGCGGGAACCCTGCCCCCTTCCCTCTTAGTATAAATAGGTGGAGCTTCTGCCATTTGTCTGTTCACTTTCAATTGCCGTTTTTCACTGTGCCTCAGCTTCCTAGCCTCAGTACTTTCTCCTCACAATGTATTTGTTCTATATCTTCTTTTCGCTAACTGTTCCTATTTTTCCATGTTTAACCCTCCTTCTCATTACCTCAAATCCCCCTAATTTTTTTTAAATAAAAATCCTCCTGTTGTTGTTTCTTTACCTTAGACCTTGCCCCCCCTTCTTTTCCTTTTCTCTCAATGGCACAGAAACTGGCATTTCGAAAGTGTGTCAGTTGCAGAGTTAAAATGGTGTCAACTAACAGGCAGTCCCTTTGCCTCCTTTGTCTGGGTGAGGAGCACCAAGTGCCCTCACTGCTAGGCTTTCTCTAAGCAGGCCCGCAAGAACAGGGCAGGTCACCTTAAAATGGAGCTCTGGGAGAGAGCCCTTGAGGCTGCATGGAATTGTTACTGGACTGAGCCAGTCAACAGCTGGGGCAAATCCGGGTGGACCCCAGACTCGAGCCAAACAGAGCCTGAGATGAGGCTTAGAGCCAAAATCAGCTTTATTCTAGTGCACTATAGAATAAAGGGAGACAAAAGGGGACATTCAGCCCAAAGCAGTGTCTCAAAAGTTGCACCCCAGTACATGCGTTTTATACCCTAGGTAACCAATTAGGTCACCTAATACACATCTAATACATCGATACATCAATGTATGCACCCCCTCCCGTGCTGGAGAAAGAGTCTTTTCTTCTGTCAAGGACCAGACATTTTCCATGTCTATTTCTTATCTGCTCGAGATTCACACAGACTTGCCATGTTCTTACTCCCTGCACATTTGCAACTTTCATGGCGGCTAGAGCCAGTTTCCACTGTTCCTTTGACTACTGTATTTGAGGTCAGGCTAGCGTGTTAGCTGTGGGTTAAACAAAGTTTATTTTGTTCTTATTCCCCCTCCCTTCTGGGACAGTATAACTGTGGTGTTTTTACTATGTGGCCTTCCTCTGGCCAACTACTTTTGGGGCCTTTCTCTGGCCAATTACTCTTGGGGTGTTTTGGGGTGCTGCAATTGGTAACAGAATGTTGCGGAGGACAAATCCAACTGTCTGTCCGCCTCCAAGGAAGCTGCTCCGAAATGTGCTCCACCAGCAACTGTAGGCATACCTAAGCCTTCAGCTCCAAAACTGCCTGGCGACAGTGACACATGCACTGGTAACTTCCTGATTAGACTTCTGTAACGTGCGCTACGTGGGGCTACCCTTGAAGACAGTGCAAAACAGAGCTGCCAGGTTGCTGACGGGGACTGGGCGTTGTTCTCATATAACCCCAGTCCTCCGTCAGCTTCACTGGCTTCCTATTGAAGTCCGGGCCCACTTCAAGGTGTTGGTTATCACCTATAAAGCCCTCAACGGCTTGGGTCCTGGTTATCTAAAGGAGCGCTTGCATTCATATATGCCCTCACACCCCTTGAGATCGGCAGCAGAGGCCCTTCTCCGGGAACCCTCCATGAAAGATATTAGGAGGGTGAGTACCCGGAGGAGGGCCTTCTCTGCGGTGGCACCCCACCTATGGAATGCACTCCCCAGAGAGGTCCGCCTGGCGCCGTTTTTATTTGTTTTCCGGCGCCAGGCCAAGACCTTTTTATTTAAAAGTTATTTTAATTGTTAATTTATTGATTGTATTTATTGGGTTTTTATGTATGTGTCGAGATGTTTCTGTTTTTTTAAGTCTAATTATATAATTGTTTATTTATTTTGTAAGCTGCCCCGAGGCTTTTTGTGAATGAGGCGGCATAGAAATGGTTTAAATAAATAAAATAAATAAAACAGCTGCCTTCCTCTAACCTCCCTAGAAAACACAAGGAAAAGAGGGAGCACCTCAAGCCGTAAGAGCCCAGAAGGGCTAAGAAACCAGGCAAGGACAAGCCCACAAAGAAGCACAGGCACTGCTTGCCCATTGCATCCAAGTGCTGGGCCTCGCCTGTCTTGCCAGTGGCTCTGGCCACCACAATAGTGCCGGCCTCAAATTCAGCTCAAGCCTCTCCAACTACATCCATTCTGGATACTCCAACCTGATTGGAGCCCCAACATGTCCACACTGAAATGGCCCCACTGATTTTGTTTTCAGAAGAGCAGATTCGAGGCTCTCCAACTTGATCACCCGCTCTACCTCACACTCCAGCACAATTGGAACAGACACCACGGTGAGAGCCTTAGCCAACCATTCCTCCAACAGTGTGCCCATATGGAATGGTATCTTCAAACTCATCACCAGTCTCAATCCAATCCACCCACAATTTCAAACCACAGATGCCTACCCATACACAAGGAATCTGTGTTGGATTGCATGTTGGATACTACATTCCAGGATACCTGTGGGACCAACAGCTAGCTCCACATGACTACCCATGGCCACCAACTCATACTCGTTCTACTGAACAATGGCCTTTGCCTCATTCAAGCCATCATTCTGGGAACTGTCCACTTCTCAGCACACACAGCAGCCACTGGCTTCTGAATTTAGATCACCTTCCCCATCAACTGGCTTGTCTTCTTCACACATGGGCTATGCCTCAGACTCTGAATCTCATTCAGAAACCGAGGCCATTTCCACCTCTCCTGATAACATTGTCTTATCTCAGGCCCTAGATCCCCAGGGGAAAGCTTGGAGCATTTCTCGGAACAGGTCCTCTGTATGTCTACCTCTCATGACATTCAAACTCAACAGATCATTGAATCAGGGGAAGACATGGTTTATGACGTGATCCATACAGAGGACTCTGGTCTGGTGGCAAAACCAATGACCCCAACACTGCAAGGCATCATGAAAGAACCCTAGGAGCTTCCCAACCAGCCGCACCCTACGTCTCAACAACTGGAAGGGATGTACAGGGTTCAAGAATGAGACATACCTTTCCTTCTCCACACCCATACCCAAATTCTCTGATAGTTGAGTCAACACGGGCATGACAGCAATGTGAACACATTGTGCCAACCAACTGTGAAGGATGATGTCTTGAAACGATGGCTCATCATATATATTCTGCCATGGGACTGGGCTTCTGCTTCTCAAACTATGAAGCCATGATGGGGAGGTACCAAGACTTTCTCTGGCAGAAAATGGAAGTTCTGGCAGCATTTCTACCAGAGCAACAACAAAAGCTCACCAGAGTCTTCATTGATGAAGCTCTCCAACTACCTAAGCAACAAATTGCATCGGCGCACCATCGTGTTGATTGTGATTCAAGAGGACTTGTCGGTATGGTAGTTCTTCACAGGCATGCATGGCTTTAGGCAGCCAGTCTTCCACAGGAGACTTGAACCAGGATTGAAAACATGCCTTTTGATGGGGAAGGCCTCTTGCATTTGAGGATGGATGAACACCTGGATACACTCCAGAAAGCACAGCTGGCAGCTTGGCATATGGGCTTTGGTCCCTACCAACTTAGAATATGGAAGTGGCTATGGGCCCAACCACCTCAGTATTAGCTATATACTGTGCAACCAAGTCCTTTTCCTGGACTCCAGCAGTTCAGACAAGGTCCACCAACCCAACAATGCTACTGTGGCACTACACATCTCCAACACTCAAAAGGAAAGCTAGACAATGAGAAGAGAGAGTTCTGATAGGTAGCGCGAACCAGCTCCTCTCACGCTCCACCATTCCAATTTGGTAACCATCTCGTTACCAATCTTCCCAACTGGGAATCCATCAGATCGGTGGGTACTGAGTGGGATAGTGTAAACTAGTGCCCTGCAACAGCAGAAGGTTGAACCTAATGGCCTTCTTGGCCCCTTCCAACTCTACTATTCTATGAATCTATGATCCATTGTACAGCATGGATCCGAAATTGAATCTAGACTATGCTCACTTTCTCCACTTCCAGATCGATACCAACCCTTATGAATTTAGAGTGCTACCATTTGATTTGTCTATGGGACTGAGAGTTTTTACTAAATGTATGTCGGTTGTATGCACCCACTTAAACTCCAAGGGGTACAAAACTGACCTTATTTAGATGACTGGTAGTTAGTTTTTGACACTAAAAATGAACTCTTACAATTGATTTCAAGAACATACACTCTCCTAGAACAACTCGGATTACCTGACGGTAACACTGACCATGGACGCGTCTCTCCGGTTGGGGTGCCCACTGTGGAAGCTACCA